TCTAACTTGAACTAGAACTCGAACTCTAACTTGAACTAGAACCCGAACTTGAACTTCCCCATTTCTATGTCTGACACATTTAATTTTGAATGACCATATAGTAATTGTTCACCACTTCACTTTAAAAGAATAATCATTTCACTCCAAGCAAGTCGGGAATGCCACTCGTCAGAGCAGTTGCCATGGAAAAATCTGTAGAAAAGACAGAGGGAAGCCACACCACTTCGGTGGGAATGTGACTGAAGTAGAGATGCCAAGTCAGGATCGATTACATTAGAGATCTTTCTTTAGATTTTGTTAAGAATCTCGAGATGTACAGCAGGAACAGCAGACCAGATATGGCAACAGTATTCTATGCATGGATGAATGGTAGATTTGTAAATGTGAGGGATTCCGACGAGAATAATTTTCTCATACGTCACAGTGATCCAACTTTCCTTGCAGTAGATGCAGTCATTGCGGTCACGCACAACTAAATAGATAACATCTTCATATAACTTCATAATTTTTACATATGCAAAGGCGTGCTATAAAATTACCTGTTCAACCAACGGTGAGAACTAGTCTAGTAGCACGCTTAAATTCATGCAATCGAGTAAAAAAAGCTTGTCAGAGTAGTTGTTATGAAAATGTTTGCAGAAATGAAAGAGGGAAGCCATGTCACGTGGGTGAAAAAGTGACTGAAGACGTGATGCAAAATCAGGATCGATTACATTAGAGATCCTTCCTTTGATTTTGACAAGAACTTCGAGAGGAATAGTAGGAGCACCAGTCCAGGTCTGGCAGCAATATTCAATGCACGTGCAAAGGGTAGATTTGTAAATTTTCAAGAAAATGTTTGTGACACCACACAGTGACCCAACTTTCCTTGCAGTAGATGCAGCTGTTGATATGATGTAGGCGCTTCACTTCACGTCAGTTGAAAATGTGAGGTCAAGAAAGCGCGTTGTGTTGCTCTCCAGGAGTCAACCATGGTGACGGTAGGCGGAAAAGAGGTGGTCAAATGAGAGCTGTTATGTTTTGGAGGTGTTAAAAAATTTCTTGCCCCAGTTAACCATTAACATAAGTTGTCGTTAACCAGTTTAAGAAATGACTTGTAAATTTTAACACTTCCAAAACTGTTGCTTTTTAATCGCCTTAGAGAAGCTCTCTGCTGTCTATCATCATGGCTGATGCTAACCTCCGCGCTTTCTCGGTTTTACGTTTTCCACTGACAGGAAATGAAACGATTATATTTAATCAGTTGCTAACTTTGCTGCTAGGAAGTTTTGCCCACTGTGTCGTGCGAGACATTTTTTTCTTGCCAGAATCTATCTTAACCGTTTATGAATCTACCATTCGACCGTACATTGAATATTGCTCCACATCTGGTCTAGTGCTACTGATATAAATATGTCATTTTTTCAGTGTCATGTAGTGGCTTCTTTCCAATTTTTTTATAAATATTTTCATGGTAACTATTTTAATGATCATCCCTCCTTGCTACACCTTGACGTCATGAAGTTGATCGTAGTACTAGATTGGTAATTAGATCTCATCATTTTATTGTGGACTAGCAGGAGAGCCCGGCGTTGCCTGGGGATGTAACAGTAAGAGATAGATCAAGTATCGACCATCATAAAGACTGAAAAATAAAATTGACAAAGATTATTGTTTAAGGTTGACGGACACGCATGTCTTAATTAGTTTTTTTGCTTTGTTTTGTTTTGTTTTTTTACGAATTGGTCAAACCCAAACTCAAACAAAAACATTGTTTTCAATCGTTATGAGTCTATCGATTGAATAGAATTTTATTATAAACAATTGTCTTGCAAATGGAATTTTAAAAGCATTCTGAATGTAAAAAATAAAGAAAAAAGTGTGCAAGACAATAAGAAACACTACCTGCCAAAAAAAAGTGAAATTTTGTTGAAATCGGTTGAAAAATGTAGGAAATCCGATCCCATATATACACACACACACACACACACACACACACACATGGGTTTTATAATAAGTATAACTCGATATGAGTTGTCCCTCTTTCATTCTTGCGACAGAATTGTGTTTTATCGTGTTTTCAATTTGATTTTGTGCAAAAACAATTGTGTTTTTCCGATTTTTGGCGCTGTCAGAACCACCGCAAGCTAATTTTACGCAGTCCTGTGAAGTTTTGTTGAAATCGGTTGAAAAATGTAGGAAATCCGATCCAATATATAAACGTACAGACACACACACACACAATCTGCGTTTTATAATAAGTAAGATTTAGGTAGATGTGACCGTAAGTTCTATTTTAATAGTTTCTTCTTCCTCACTTCTCGCCAGTGAAATTCTTTCCGGCTTCTTGATTTCCTCTCAGCTTCTTCTACTATGTGCCACGTCCCTCAGGTCATAGGAGATTATGGCTCTTCACAACTTCCCATCTCGTGTAGATCTTAGCAGATTATCTCGTTTCGTTAAAGCTCCTGTCCTCCATTCTATTTATACAAGCTCGTCATATAAATGACTCGTTTCCTTTCCCTATCTCTGTTTCCCTCAATTTGCCTTGTGACGGTTAAATTTTCCAAGCTTTCCTTTCTCATTATGCATCCAAGGAATTTTAGCTGTCTTTTTCTGATTTTGAGTATACATGTTGTTTCTGTTGATATTTTTCTTAAGACTTGTTGATTACTTTTTCCGTCCATGGAATCTTCAGTATCTTTCTATAGAACCACATTTCTGTTGCCTCTAGTTTTCTCCCCATTGGAAATTGTCCAGCATTCACTGCCATATAGGAGGATGGATAACACATAGCAATTCACTGCTCTTTTCTTTGGTTTTTTCTGAATAATCTTTTTTAAACATTAAGGTATATTTAATCACATTTTCCAATAGATGTTGCGATCTGTAAAAACAAAAAATGTTAATTTTTTTTGAGCTTCTAAAACACGTAATATATATAAACATTTATGAAGAAAAATATACGGAAAAAACAAACAAAAATCCTAATATGCAATTATGCTGTTTTAATGTTAATATAATGTCAACGTCGGACGTTTCGGTCTAATAGACCATCTTCAGGACATATTCATAAAATATAATTAACATTAGACTATAAGCTTATTTGTTTTTTTTTCCGTATATTTTTTTTCATACTGTCGGATCTATATCCATATATTTGCTTACATACTGTCTACTGGAAATACAAACCTGAATTTACTTTATAACATGGAAGACTTCAAGCTTATACCAAAATATAAGAAACTATTGATCTCCGCGTATCCCTATAAGAACAGAAATGATTTCTTAATGAACTCTTTATATGAGAAAATCGTTCAATCGAGCTTATCTAATATTTTGAAATCATCTTCGAATACGTTTTCACAACATCGTCCACGTGACGACGACGTGATCATATTAAAACGGAACGCTGATCTTATAAAAAAATGTCAGTTATCTATTTGGATTAGTCTTGCTCTTGTGTCCATCGTCTTTTTCATGTTAAATTGAATATAGTCTAATGTTAATTATGTTTTATGAATATGTCCTGAAGATGGTCTATTAGACCGAAACGTCCGACGTTGACATTATATTAACATTAAAACAGCATAATCGCATATAAGATTTTTGTTTGTTTTTTTTTACGTATATTTTGTTCCAAAAGTTGTCATAGCCGTAGAGTGATAGTGGAGACATGCTCCCACTGTCTATAAAATGCTTTCGTGATATGCTTTGGAAATAGCTTCTAACAACTAAGTCCAGTTCCAAGCAAGAGAATGGGCAAAGGCGGAAAACTGACGCCACATAAACCAGTAGATTTGGGTAGATGGAGCTCGAAAACCCAGGAAGGCAGTTCCTCTTATGGGCGAAAAAAAACCTTTGATTTTAAGCCTCTAATACTTTGCGGTCATATCCAAATCACGGAAATATCTATTGAAGTAAATCCAGATAGAAAGCCTGGAGTAGAGCCTTGATGTCGGTTGGCGGTCAACACTGACAACTTTCCAGTAATTTACTGAATCTAAGCCGGCACCAAATAAAAAGCCCTGTATTCTTTTGGATCTTGTCAGTACGGCCGAGATGTGGGCGGGAGGCATGTAGTCAGAGCAGCACACGGCCTCCATAAACCATCGTCAGTCTGTTTATGTGCCACGTCCTTTCAGGATGTAGGCGATCGTGGCTCTCCTCCTCCTGCCTCTATCTCTTGCAGCCCCCAACAATTTCCTTCCCTCTGCT